TTTTTATCCAGGATAGTTAACATACAGTGCTCTATTCATTTCAAGGGTACAATATAGTGATTCAGCACTTACGTGCGTTACCCAGCGCTCATTATGATAAGTGCGCTCTTCAATCTCCATCCCCTGTTGCCCTCCCCTCCCCTCTGGTAACCATCAGTTTGTTCTTCATAGTTAAGAGTCCGTTTGGGGCACCTGGGTGGCTCAGTCAGTTAAGCATCTGACTTTGGCTTGTGGCTCTGATCACACGGTTCGTGAGTTCATGTCCCGGGTGGGTGAGCATGAGTTCTGCTCTGGGTGAGCATGAGCCCCACATAGAGTAAGCCCCACCTCTCTCTCTCTCTCTCTCTCTCTCTCTCTCTGCCCCTCATGGGATTCTTTCTCCCTGCCATCCTCTGCCCCTCACTCACTTGAGCCCCCCCTAAAAAAAGTCTGTTTTATGGTTTTTCTTTTTTTCCCTTTGTTCCTTTGTTTTGTTTCTTAAATTCCACATATGAATGAAATCATATGGTATTTGTTTTTCTCTGACTGACGTATTTCACTTAGCATTATACTCTCTAAATCCATCCATGTTGTTGCATATGGAAAGATTCCATTCGTTTTGATGGCTGAGTGAAATTCCACTGTGTGTGTGTGTGTGTGTGTGTGTGTGTGTGTACACCACATCTTCTTTATCCATTTATCAGTTAGTTGATGGACAGTTGGACTGCTTCCATAATGTGGCTATTATAGATAATGCTGCTATAAACCTTGGGGTGCATGTATCTTTTTAAATTGATTTTCTTGTATTCTTTGGGTAAATACACAATCGTGGAATTACTGGATTTTATGGTATTTCTATTTTTAATTTTCTGAGGAACTTCCATACTGTCTTCCACAGTGGCTGTGCCAGTTTGCATTCCCACCAACAGTGCATGAGTGTTCCTTTTCACCCTTGCCAACACTTGCTGGGGTTTTTTGTGTGTTTTTTATTTTAGCCATTCTAACAGGTGTAAGGTGATATCTCATTGTGGTTTTGATTTTCACTTCCCACATGATGAGTCATGTTGAGTGTCTTTCCATGTGTCTGTTAGCCACCTGTACTTTTTCTTTGGAGAAATGTCTGTTCATGTCTTCTGCCCATTTTTAATAGGGTTTTTCGGAGGTTTTTTGGTGTTGAGTTGTATAAACTCTTTATACATTTTGGAGACTAACCTTTTCTCAGATACGTCATTTGCAAATATCTTCTCCCATTCCGTAGGTCTTCTTTTAGTTTTGTTGTTCTTTTCTTTTAGTTTTTGCTGTGCAGCAGATTTTCATTTTGAAGAAGTCCCAATAGTTTATTTTTGCTTTTGTTTCCCTTGCCTCAGGAGACATATCTAGAAAAGCATTGTTCAGGGGGCACCTGGGTGGATCAGTTGGTTAAGTGTCCGACTTCAGCTCAGGTCATGATGTTGCAGTTTGTGGGTTCAAGCCCCGCCTCGAGCTCTGTGCTAACGGCTCAGAGCCTGGAGCCTGTTTCCGATTCTGTGTCTCCCTCTCTCTCTGACCCTCCCCTGCTCACGCTGTCTCTCTCTGTCTCAGAAATAAATAAAAACAATTTTTAAAATTACATATTAAATAAAAAGAAAGAAAAACATTGCTCGGGCCGGTGTCAGAGAAATTACTGCCATCATTTGGCTCTCTTCTAGGATTTTTATGGTTTCAGGCCTCACACTTAGATCCTTAATCCATTTTGAGTTTATTTTTGTGTGTGGTGTAGAAAAGTGGTCCAATTTCATTCTTCTGCATGTGGCTGTCCAGTTTTCCCCACACCATTTATTGAAAAGAATTTTTCCTATTTCCTGTTCTTGCCTCCTTTGTTGAAGATTAATTGACCATATCACTGTGGGTTTATTTCTGGGCTCTCTATTCTGCTCTGTTGATCTATGTGTCTATTTTTGTTGGTTTGTTTTTAAATGTTTATTTAACTTTTGAGAGAGAACATGAAGGTGGGGGAGGAGCAGAGAGAGAAGAGGACAGAGGATCTGAAGCAGGCTCTGTGCTGACAGCAGTGAGTATGATGTGGGGCTTGAATCCAAGAACCGTAAGTTCATGACCGGGGCTGAAGTTGGACGCTGAACCAACTGAGTCACACAAGCACCCATCTATTTTTGTGCCAGTACCATACCATTTTGATTACTACAGCTTTATAATATAACTTGAAGTCTGGGATTGTGATGCCTCCAGTTTGGGTTTGTTGTTGGTGATGGTTATTTTTTTGTTTTTTGCAAGACTACTTTGGCTCTCCGGGGCCTTTTTGGGTCCATACCAATTTTAGGATTGTTCCAGTTCTGTGAAAAAATGCTATTGATATTTTGACAGGAATTGCATTAAATCTGTAGAATGCTTTGGGTAGTATGGACACTTTAACAATACGTTTTCCTCCAATCCATGAGCATGGAGTATCTTTCCATTTGTTTGTATCATCTTCAATTTCTTTCAATGTTTTGTAGTTTTCAGAGTCCAGATCTTTCACCTCTTTGGTTCAATTGACGTCTAGATATTTTATTATTTTGGGTGCAATTATAAATGGGACTGTTTTCTTAATTTCTCTTTCTGCTGCTTCCTTACTAGTGAATAGAAATGCAACGGATTTCTGTATATTCATTTTGTATCTTGTGACCTTACTGAATTCACTTGTCAGTTCTAGTAGTTTTTTGGTGGTGTCTTTTGGGATTTCTATGTATAGTATCATGTTATCTGCAAATAGTGAAATTTTTATTTCTTCTGGACCAACTTGTATACTTTTTATTTCTTTTTGTTGTCTATTTGCTGTGGTTAGGGCTTCCAGTACTGTGTTGAATAAAAGTGGTGAGAGTGGACATCCCTGTCTTGTTCCTGACCGTGGTGGGGAAATCTCTCAGTTTTTCACCATGGAGCGTGATGTTAGCTATGGGTTTTTCAGATGTGGCTTTATTATGTTGAGGTCTGTTCCCTCTAAACCTACTTTGCTGAGGGTTTTTATCATGAATGGATGCTGTACTTTGTCAGATGCCTTTTCTGCATCTACTGAAATGATCACGTGGCTTTTGTACTTTCTCTTGTTGATGCGATATATCATGTTGATTGATTTGCAAATATGGAATCACCCTTGCATCCCAGGAGTAAATCCCACTTGATTGTGGTGAAGGATTTTTTTTCAATGTATTGTTGGATTTGGTTTGCTACTACTTTGTTGAGGATTTTTGTATCTATGTTCATCAGAGATGTTGACCAGTAGTTCTCTTTTTCTGTAGTGTCTTTATCTGGTTTTAGTATCAGGGTAATGCTGGCCTCATAGAATGAATTTGGAAGCTATTCTTCCTCCTCTATTTTTTAGAATAGTTTGAGAAGAACACATATGAACTCTCTGAATATTTGGTAGAATTCACTGGTGTAGCTGTCTGGTCCTGGTCTCTTATTTGTTGGGAGTTTTTTTGATTCCTGATTCAATTTCATCACTGATGGTTGGTCTGTTCAAATTTTCTATTTCTTCCCCATTCAGCTTGGGAAGTTATATGTTTCTAGGAACTTATCCATTTTTTGGAACTTGTCCAATTTGTTGGCATATAATTTTTCATAATATTCTCTTGTAGTCTTTGTATTTTGGTGTTGTCCGTTGTTATTTCTCCTCTTTCATTTCTGATTTTGCTGAGTCCCCTCTGTCTCTCTCTCTCTCTCTCTATCTCCCTCTCTCTCTCTCTCTCTCTCTCTCTCTGATGAATCTGGCTGAAGGTTAATCAACTTTCTTGATCTTTTCCAAGAACCAGCTCCTGGTTTCTCAATCTGTTCTATTGTGTTTTGGTTTCTATTTCATTTATTTCTGCTCTAGTCTTTATTCTCTCCTTCCTCTACTGGTTTGAGGGTTTGGTTTGTTCTTTTTTTCTAGCTCCCTTAGGTATATGGTCAGGCTGTTTGTTTGAGGTGTTTCGTGCTTTTTGAGGTCAGCCTGTATTGCTATAAACTTCCCTCTTAGAACAGCTTTTGCTGCATCCCAAAGATTCTGGACTGCTGTATGTTCATTTTTATTTGTCTCTACATATTTTTTGATTTCCCCTTTGATTCCTTGGTTCACCCATTCCTTTCTTAGAAACGTGTTATTTAACCTCCATGTATTTGTGCTCTTTTCAGATTTTTCTTGTGGCTGATTTCGAGTTTCCTAGCATTGTGTTCCAAAAAGATGCAGGTTTTGACTTGCATCTCTTTGGATTTGTTGAGGCTTGCTTTGTGACCTAATATGTGATCCATACTGGAGAATGTTCCATGCACACTTGGAAAGAATGAGGATTCTGTTTTAGGATGCAATGTTCTGAATATATATGTCAAATCCATCTCGTCCATTGTGTCATTCAAAGCCACTGTTTCCTTATTGATTTTCTGTTTGGATGATCTGTCCATTGATGTAAGTGAGGTTTTAAAGTCCCCTACTATTATGGTATTACTATTGATTACTTCCTTTATGTTTGTTATTAACCGCTTTATGTATTTGGGTGCTTTCATATTGGGTGCATAAACATTTACAATTGTTATGTCTTCTTGTTGGCATTGTCCCCTTTGTGATTATATAGTGTTCTTCTTTGTCCCTTATTACAATCTTTGTTTTAAAGTCTATTTTGTTCAATATAAGTATTGCTACCCCAGCTTTCTTTTCACATCCATTTGTATGATAAATCCTTCTTCAATCCTTCACTTTCAATCTGCAGGTGTCCTTAGGTCTGAAATGAGTTTCTTGTAGGAAGCCTATGGATAGATCTTGCTTTTTTACCCTTTGTCTTTTGATTGGAACATTTAATCCCTTTACACTCGAAGTAATTATTAATAGGTATGTACTTACTGCCATTCTATTCCTCATTTTATGGTTATTTTTGCAGTTCTTCTTTGTTCCTTTCTTGTCTTAAGGCAAGTCTTATTCTTTACACAGTTACTGCCTACTAACTAGCCTCTGCCTAGGCTGTGCCCACCAACTGGTGTCTCCTCCCTTTTTTTTTTTTTTTTTTTTTTGCTAGGGGAAAGCACGAGTGCAGTCTCCAACTGCCACAAGTTATACAGTTGAGTTTCCCACATCTGGGGAAATCGCAGGGGTCAGCACATCCAGGGTGCAATGGACAGACCTCACCCTGGGAGAATCACCTTCATGATCATGACATCTCTCTGCCAGCCAAGTATAAGTGGGATCTCCTTCTAATGGAGGGAGGCAAAGGGGAAACTTCTTTTTCTATTTTGTCAGACCAGTGAGTCCTTTACTTTGCACAGAAGCATTTTCTACATGCGAAGCCATGGGCCTGCTCAAGGGGGTACTTTTGTGTCATTTGTACAAAGGCACCCCTAAATCTGGGCCCGAGAACCCCTCAATGAGCAACAGTTGCAACAACTCCCTGTCTCATTCTTTAATCTTGGAATGTTTCATAAAGACTTGTGAGGCGTATGACTTCCTGAGCTCTTGCTATCTCCCAGGAGCTGTTCTAGACCCCGACGGTACATAGCGGAGGTGGGGTAGGGACAGACAAACTCCCTGCCCCCGTGCAGCTTGTGTTGTAGAAGGAGGTCATTTGGTCTCAGCTGTGCTCTGGGGGGTTGAGGGAATGCCACCAGCACCCCTCACACTGGGGCTCACATACTGGTAGCAGTAGGAGAGTTGGCTGGCTCTTGAGAATCATTGGGGACATGGGAGGATGTGGATCAGTGGACAAACCTTTGGAGTCTAGCACCCTGGGCATCTTAGAAGTATCTAAGGAACATTCTGAGGGGCCCAAATCCTGCTGGGGCCTTTAGGAATTCAGCGGGTACATGAAGTCGGCTTGCGGCCATTATACAGGGCTTCATTCCTTCTCACCAGCACTAATTCTGCCTTTTCCGGTCTGAAGATCCATCCTCTTGATGGCAAATTTGGAAGTCAAGCACAATTTGAGTTCTACTTTCTTGCTATCATAGGTTAACTCCATACACTTAGTCCCAATTAGCCCGTTAGCCTCCCTTTCCTCTGGAGCCGCGTTCTCCCTGCAAGTCTCTCCTCACGGAGATCTACTCCGGATGTTTCCAACCCTTATCTGGATGGGTCCCAAACCTGTTTTCCCAGGGGGTTCAGGGCCCTCGTCTGGTCGGGCCCTGGATGTCACCAGCTAGATCAGAGACTGGTTTCCTTTCAGGGTCTCTGTCCCTACACTTCTGCAGGGCGGGACACCCTGAGTCAGGTTCAGGGGAGCACTTCTTATTTCTTTGTTTAAACTACAGAAGATGAAAGTGTCGGCAGCTCGAGGAGAATTTATCAGACACCCTGTGTCCACTAGGATGAGATTCCTCGCTGTTGCCACTGGACCTTGCCGCTGTGCCTGCCAGTGCGGTCACATATGCCCTCGACAGACCTGCTCAGTCTCTGAGCCCAAGGGCAGAGCCACGCGCATGTGGACAAGCAGCAGAAAAGCGATGCTTTGGCAGCAGACAGCCATCTGCTGGAACTTCACGGGACCCTTTGTCTGAAGCCCAGTGACCACGCTCCTCTGAACACCACCCCCCCGCCCTTCCCCCAGGGCCTCCCCAGTGTCTGCTCCTGGGTTTCTCTCTCTACTGGTGTCGGATCCTTCTGCTCTCTTTCCAGATCTTACTCACTCATGTCACCTGGCTTCTGCCCCTAGAATGACCTTGAACCCATATTTGTCTGCTCCTGAGTTGATCCGTTTGACATCTAGTATGGTTCCTGCCACAGAGGGCCTGTGTCTGGCTGGTTCTGGAGCGGCCTGATGTCCTTTCAAACCCGACCCTTGCTCCCAGAGAGTGAGCCCAGCACACAGCCTGTGACACTGCTCAGAAAGCCGGCCATCAGTCCCTGCTCTGGTCCTGTGACCTGGAGGGTACGCCACAGTCTCACTTCCCTTCCTCTTCTCATCATCTCCGAGGCCATCTCTCCCCTCAGATTGTGCACCCCCATGCAGGTGTGCCCATCCTCACGCGTGGTCGCCCTCTCCTCCCCTTCCCACCAGGAGAAGGCAGGTCTTCCATTGCCATTGCATCCCATCCTTCAAGGCTCACAGCACCCGCAAGTCGCATTTGTCTTCCTGAGCTCAAACTCCAAGGTCATTGTTTTCAGATCCAGCCTTGTACCCTGGAGCAGACTTCCAGCTCTGCAAAGTTTATTCCCCCTGGTTATTTTCTTCCTGGGAATTAACGGCCTTTCCTCCGTGTTTCCTGCTGCTTCCATTTCTTTTATTTTATCAAGCTCTATAATTATGCTGCCTTACTTAGTGCTTTGTTTGAAAGAGTTTGGGTCTAAAAAATGACAGAAATTTAGCTTTGGCCAGCTCAAGCAATAGAGAGAATCAGTGGACTCATAATCCACAAAAGAGGGGGCAGAAATAGGATTGGGCATCAGTGGCCACTAGAATTGGAGGCTCTCAGGGCACTTCTCTTCCCTCGTTCCTGCCTGCTGCGAGGCAGCTTTGTCCCCTCAAGTGCCTTTCCCCTCAAGGATGCAAGCACGGGTGCCCGCCGCGCCAGGCACACGCATTCTCAGCTTGGAAGCACCAGGTTGTCGTCTTAGATGATTACATCATCGCTGAGCCCCATCCCTGGCCGAGGTTAAATACAAGGTCAGATGGCTCTGACCATCCCACATCTGTTCCTATCTAGGCCCTCCTCCCAAAGTTAGAAGAACTTCCGGTCCTGAAGTCTTCCTACCTTCAACTATCAGGATCGTAAGCCTGATGGACGTCAGGAATGCTTTTTGTTGGGGAAGTGAGCGATGGTCAAGAAAAGAGGATTAAAGAAAATACTACAGAGATGCCTCCCACCTTGTAGGTATAAGATATAAGAATCCAGCTAGTGCTTACCTCTCACCTGGGCTCCATTCACAAACAGTCCAGGGTACAGTTGCTGATTCAGAGGAATCTTGTTCTCCTGAGTCCGACTGGTTAGCAGAATCCTGACTTTAGAATATTATTGTTTCCTTCAGATAAGCTTTTCATAAAATGTCCTGTGGGAGCACTTAAAAGGCCCCAGAACTGGGTCTTTTTTCAAGTATTTTTAAATGTTTATTTTTGAGAGAGACAAAGACAGAGTGTGAGTGGGAGAGGGGCAGACAGAAAGTGAGACATTGAAGCCAAAGAAAGGTCCAGGCTCTGAGCTGTCAGCACAGAGCCTGACGCAGGGCTCCAACTCCTGAACCGTGAGATCATGACCTGAGCTGAAGCTGGACACTTAACCGACCCAGGCGCCCCCAAGCACCCCCAGCACTGGGTCTTTATTGAGATTATCGACCAGGGTGTGTGATGGCTCTTCTACTGGCTTGATAATACATGTTTGTTATGTGGAGCAGAATTTAATCCGACATTTTTCTTTGTTGTGATCTGGTAGCAAGGTTAGGAGGGGGAATAACCATTATCTTCACCTATCTAAGGTCAGATCGAATATTTGAAAAAAAGTATCAAAAATAACAAAAATGAAATTAAACACAAAACAAATGAGAACAGAAATAACAAATTTAAAAAGTTAATAAGTGCACAAAGATCCAGAAAGCAACATAATTTATTAATTGATAGCTGATATGTAATGATATATAACACAAATAAAAGCTGATATGTAAAATAGCTTAATATATAGATATATGTGATCTACATATTATACATGCAACTATTATGTAATAATTTCTTTTAGTGTTTGTTTATTTTTCAGAGAGTTTGAGCAGGGAATAGAAGAGAACTATCCAAAGAGAATTCTCATATTTAGTTTCATTTGTTTTGTGGTATATTGCAGAGAGAGGAGGGGACAGAGGATCTGAAGCTGGCTGTCAGCACAGAGCCTGATGTGGGGCTCAAACTCCCAAACCACGAGATCATGACCTGAGCTGAAGTTGGGTGCTCAACTGACTGAGCCACCCAGGTGCCCGTATGTAATATTTTCAGTAGAGAAAATAAAATAATTTAGTTCCTCCTCTAACGTGGTTGATCAAAACATTTTGTGAGTCACTAAATTTTAAAATTCATGAAATATGCAACTTCAATGGATACATTCGCTGTAGTTCTTCCATAAGCTTTGTGCCCTATAAATAGAGGAATTCTGATAAATTTGAGTTTGCACATGCTCTTCAGAAAATTTTAAAAAATAGCATGGAGTGTTTACGATTATGTACCCTGAATATAGAGTATATACCTAACATAATTCCCCTAAGAAGTGATGAGAACCGAATCTTCCAATTATAATTTTATGTGTTTAATTGGAAGAACCATCCACAGATTAGCTTCCAGCTTTGCACATAAAACCTCGCTCCTCTTCCTCTCCCTGTATCCATCCAGCGCGGGCACCATAGAACAGATTCCTTTCACGGGAAAGGAAGCCTCTGGTACTGCATCTCCCTATCACGTCCAGGGGCAAGTTTGCCCAGTGGGTGGTAAGAGTATTCCTGCACGGGACAGATAAGAGCAAGTAGGTGGCAATGTCTGCAAGCCACACCAGTGCATCCCACTAAATCCAAACTAAACGTGTCACCAACTGAACCTTCCGTCGCTAGTTCCCCCAAATGCCCGTGAGCGCTCACGCCACCTGACGAAAGGAGAGTTTGGAGGAAAGAAATTCATAAAGAGAGAGTGCCTTAATTGGTTGTGGTCCAAATGTCTGTTCTCTGCAAAATTTATTTAAAAAAATAAACAAACACATCTACCACGTAAACAGACGGCCAGGGACCCTCCTGGGACTTTGGAAGAGGGCCATCCAATGAGAATTCTCATATTTAGTTTCATCTGTTTTGTGGAGTATTGTGTCTGCACCCAACTCTAACCATGGAGGACTACCCATGTTTAATGGATCAGGAACAGCCGAATTGGATGGCTGGCATAAGTGGCTTGCAACAGAGTAAAACTCCTGCAAGGTATCAGCAAGATAGTCATAAGTTACAGCACTCTATGATTCGTGATACATTGTTTCTAATATTCCCCCGCAACCATTCACAAAGCCATGGCCGAAAACCACACCTACCTACAAGGACAAAAATAATTACACAATAAATTTGTAGAATATGTAAATATGTAAATTAGGCCTAGTATTATTAGACTCATTTTAAAAATGTATAAATGAGGAGGCTGACTGGCAAATGCTTCTATAAGAGTCTGCGATAGGCGGTGAGAGCGTGATTAAGAAAAGCAGAGCAATGAGACAGTGGGGATTAATAGGTGCAAATT